ATAAAACTCTGCTCTGCTTCCTTAACAGTTTGAGGTTGTCTGTGCTTGCTGTAGTCTCACTGCCTGGATGATAACATCGAAAGATTGCAAGAGTGGAGATAAAAGGATCACAGGTGGCCTTAATGCCCTGCTGGAGTCTTTTAAGAGACAGTAATAAAGGCAGAAAAAGCTCTAGGATTTGGGAGTTGTGTTTTGGTTTTTTTCTTCCCAGGATTTCTTGGTCTGTCCTTCTACTTAGAAGATGATTAGAGAAATAGAAATGAGGTGAAAGATCAAGACTAAAAGGAAGAGGCATGAGTAGTTTTTGAAAGACGGAGGAGGGAAGGCAAGAAGTTAAACTTCCAGTGCTGGTTTTCTTCCAGGGTGTTAAAGATATTCTCTGCCTAATTGCAAGGAAAATACAACTGTGGAAAGGCAGAAGAAGTAGATTATACCAGCATTTTATAGGTGAATTTATTTCTGGCAAACACTGAGGCTAGGTTGGCGTGAGGCCTTGGGCACAGTATTTCCTGGGGAGATGATTTAATCCTGCAAGCATGAATAAGATATCTTTGGTTTGCATGCACTTAATATTAGCCTTGCTTCAGCTGGGCATCCATAATGGGAATAGGTGTGACTGCTAAGAAAATGAGGGAAGAGAGATGTTTTCCTCTTTGTGTTCCATGTGGCACATAGAGTTTGATGATCAAGAACAGGGTATCCATTAACCAGAACAGTGTCTGGAGGTCTTGGCCTCATGGCCCAGTGCTTTTTTACTGCACTGCTTGTAAGCTGAAACCACGACTGCATAAATCTCATGTTTGTTCACTTTTAGTAGGTCACCAATTAAGGACCAGGTCACCAGCTGAGTGTGATTTGCAGGGATGAACACAGACATGTTCACCAGTAAAAGTACTTTGAACTTGGCTTGTCAGACCCTGCTCAGGCCTGACCTATCCAAGTACATGTGATAGACGGGAGTTTGCACATCAGCAAATCACCTGAAAAGCTACAAGCATTGTTTTTGCTTGGCTGAAGAGCTGCCCTGACTTGGATTCTGTAGAGGATGTTATCTTTGGCTTCAGCACTGGTTCAACTGGGTCAACCTCATTATTGTAGAAATCCTTTTTTTTTTTAAGTAGTATTTATTTTATTAGAAATGCAGCAGGTTTCATAGGTCTGTCATTGTCCTAAAAAGTCATATTTAATCTAGCAGTATTATTCTATGTATGCTGTGTCAATATTGCTTGTCTTGCTCCTTGCCCTGCCACACACAGTCCAGTTTCATACAAGGAAGAGAGAAATTGAGAGTAAAATGGTGGCCCCAATGAGCATCAAGTAATGCAAGACCATTAACTGATGGAGTAGCAGGGCTTGCTGTTCTTAAAATGCCACAGACTTATAAAGGGATGTTGTGTCCAAAGGATGTGCTCACTTAGCCTTTTAAATTTAATTTAAATTGATGGGGATGCAAATAACTAAGCTGTCCTTAGTCTGAGTTTCAGAGGTGAAATAGCTCTATTAGCTCTATATTCTGCTTCATTTCAGATGATGTGCTCTTCAATGGCAGATATATTGTTTCTCGATCCTTGAAGACAGCTAATTGCCTGTAATTTCCAAGGTGATTTTGTCTGTTGGAAAATATTTTGCTACATCAGAGACCTCTAGTGCATAGTCAGGGATTGTCAACAGTCAGAAACTGAGTGAGAGCTCAAGGAGAAAAAAATAAATACAAGTGCTGTGATTCGAACCTGGATCTCTAGATGACAAAGATCTTGAAAGTAAGCAGCATGGTATTCATTCAGTGGGGGAGGGGAAAAGGGTTCAAAGCTGATATTGAAACATGTATTAGTAGACAGATATTAATAATTTAGTATTTAGTAATCAATTGCCACCCACTTTCATACTTTGATAAAAGCCTCACCTGAACTTGCTTAACATTTTAACTTTAAAAAAATTGAAGTAATATCTATTGTGGGCTGGTTCTGTCTTCTGTGGTGGAAGAGATGGATCCAAAATGTTAATGTCTTGCCTGTGTATACAGATCTTTGCAGACTACTAATACCATAGTAGTTACGAGTACATGCTTATTGAAGGTGCCCCATATTTGACCTGGCATATATTCAAAATAAAACTGAATTACAAATTCAGCTGGTTTATTAGGAAGGACAGCCAAAACCTTTCCTTCCTTTGTTAAAAGTAATCTTGGCTGTAATTTGAAGAAATTATTTGGGGTACAAAGTATGCAATCAGACAGTGTGACTGTACCAACAAAAATTGATTGATTTAGGAATGTTTATGAATGCCATCTGAAATGTCATTATAAACTGTCACTAAAACTCTTGTTTATTTTTCACAGACATGTTAAAACGTGCTTTACTTGAGTTTTGATTAAAGAAAAAACAGATAAAAGCAATATGCAGGAGAATTCTTATAGGTACTAAAACCAGGTTGTAGTAGAATTACCTTTGCATTGTGCAGGGACTTTCCTCCAATGATTTTGTGCAGCTTCTTAAACGTTGCTGGTTAGCAAAGGGACATCCTGCAATACAAGCAATTTTAATGTTCTGTCACTTTTAATGTTTAGTTTGGGAAAAGTGTCACGCTGAGGTTAGTAGCTCTCTGGAGCACCCTGCTGTGTTAGTGGGCTGATGCTGTCAAGCTGGTTCTAGGCTCCCATCATTTAAAGGGCAAGGACTGTCTCTGAACTGATCAGCTTTGGTCAGAAGGGAAAATTTTCTGTTACACAGAGGTGATTTTGTAGATGCCAGATTTGCTAAGATAATAACCTCTTTCCTATCTGTACTCAGTTGTGAAAGTGTGAATCATCTTTTCTGTTTTGAATGCTTCTCTGTCACCATCATGTATAGACTGAGCCTAGAAAACAAACTTGGATTTACATGCCTAACATCTAGGCAGTCTGAGACAGGTGAGCTAAGCCCTACCTCTCCCCTGGCAGAGCACTAGGTTTGTGCAGCACAAGACAAACTTTTTCTCCTACAAGGCTGAATTGCTGATATCCCAGCTTTCTCCACAATATATCCATGTAATACAGGCAGACATCTCTGCTGTGGCTTGAGGCTGTTGCATAGATCTGCTGTAACCTTTCCCTTAATGAGGGACTCAGTGGGCTGGGGGGGGTGTAGCAGAGTAGTTGAGGGAAGGTTCTCAGCCAGGTACGAGAAGTAGGACACAATCATCACGTGGATGATTATGATTAGATTTATTGCCAGTACAGTATATAAATATTGCCAATGCACCATCTAAATAACAACTCTATGATCTATGACAATGGATTACAGTGTGTAAAGGGTTATAATATGAGAAAGTTTGGCTAGAAATGTACAGATTCACAATTTTCAGTCTTGCAGAATTCACAGTTAACAAGCAAAAAAGCACTTACGTAGCTAGTTCAGATTTTAGCTCTGTATTTATCAGGATCTTAGCACTTTTAGCCACTCATCCAAAAGTGACTGTGCTCTGTCTTCCCTGCTAAAGGAATCCACCCAGAATGTGCTGGCAGCTTTGGGACATCCATTTGCCTAGTTTGCCTGGTCTCCAGCAGCATTTTATACCCTTTTGCAAGCCAATGTGCACCAACAACAATGCAAACATCATGACTCCCCCATCTCTGGAGTGCATTCATTATGTGAGCCTCCAGACAGTTTCTCCTGCAAATACCCACCCGGTGGTCTTATCTTGGGACAAACCACATTGCCCAGAAGACTGGAAAGGGAGAGAGGTGTGTGGGTGTGTAGGGAAGGATGTATCAAAGACCAGACTATCTTTCCTTGACTGTCTTTCATCACCATCATGGGGGGCACAGATTAGACGGACAAGCTGCCCCTGGTTGTGTGAGTGAGTGTCTTCTGTGAGGTGGGAAACAGAAAGTAAGGCTGCCAAACAGATGTGCGTGAGGAAGCTATGTCCCTAAGAGAGAATGATGTGAGTAAAACCTAGTGCCACTATCAGTGTGTGAATGATCTGAGAAGTCTGTGATTTGTGGGAGTGGGTTTTGCAGAAGAAAAGCATGAGGAAGTGGAACTGGTCAGGAAGCTATGACAAGGGAAAGAAAATGGGACATTTCTGAAATGGTTATGTTGATTTGGGTCAGCAAGAGATGTCATGTTTTCTTATGCATTACTTACAGGAGATAAAAATCAAGGTGCTTAATACCAGCACATTCATACCAAGTAATGGCTTAAAGCCAATAGCCCTTTCAGGTGGACCTAAGTCAAAGTGCGTTTCTCCACAAAGCTCAGAACCGGAATACTTGGGTCATGGTAACTTTTCAGGCTGAACTGGAATCATTGGTATCTATCAGGGGACCTGAGAGATTGAGCCTATGATTTGCATTGGCTTTAAATTTTTTTAGTCTTCAGACTTTTTTTTTTATATAGGGAACATGCAATAATTAAGCAGAAGGAAACAACAGTGCTCACTTTCATAAGATGATTTTATTTCTAATGAGTTTCATGTTTCATTTCAGTTTGTCAGCCTCTTTATTCTTGCTGCATTCTGTTTCAAAGTAAAGCTATCTTGAGCAAAACTCAAACCCTTGCTTTTTAAGAGGAGGAGAGGGGGAAGTAAGTACCATATACTGCAACAATTGTTTTGGTTAGCCATGACTATCAGCCAAACTCCCACCCAGCTGCTCAGGCTCTACTTCCTTTTCTCAGCAGGACTGGGGGAAGAAATGGGAGGAAAAGGAAGGTGAGAAAAATAGTGGTTTCTGCTGAAGACAGGGACATTATTTGCCAGTTACTGTCACAGGCAAAACATACGCAACTTGGGGAAAAATTATTGAACTTATTGCAAATTTAAACAAAAATGGAAGTATTAATGTGGGTAGTGGGAAACCAAAGGGCAAACATGGAAAAAATGTTGTTCCTCCTCCTTCCTCAGGCCCATTTCTGCACTTGCCTCTCCTCTATTTACCTGCCCCCTTCACCTTCCAAACTCCGAGTAGTGCAGGAGAATGGGGGCTTTTGGTCAGTATTCAATAACTTCTCTCTGCTGCCCCTTCTTTCTCACACTTTTCCTCTGCTTCAACATCCATTTCTGGGGGCTGCAGTCCTTCAGGAATATCTGCTCCAGCATGATTTCCTCCACAGGCTGAAGTATTTATATGTACAATGCTCTTTCAATCTATGGACCAGCTTCTGAAGTACCACTTATATCACAGGATCTCCCTGTGCACAGGGTAGTTGGAGGCTTTTGGGAATTAGATGAACACTTTGAGACCAGAGTAATCCCAGAAAAAATTACTCATAATTAAATTACCTTGCAGTTCTAGAACAAACAACAACTGAGGACAAAATTACTGTGCTTCAGGGCATAAGCCAAAGACTACTGCAGATAGGAAATATTATAGTTTGCTAATACTTTATCTGACTCTAGGATTTTTTGCCTTGCAGTTGAAGTAATTTATTGCTGCTTACATAGAGCATAGATCACACCTGGAGCTCACCTGTTATGAGTTCTGACTACATCTTTTCTGTTCTATGTCTACTGTATTGCTAATTTTTTTGATTGATAGTCTAGGGTTTATATCTTCAAAGATAAATTCATAGAAGGGTTATTATTTTAATAAAAATGGTATTTCTCTAGTGCCATTTCTGCAGTTGATTCAAGGAAGGCATCGAGATTGTTAATCACTTAAAAGTAAAGACAGCTCTATAGTTAGCATCCATTGAGGAAAGTACTGGTTTACATCCTCTATTAATATTTAATTAACAAAGAAAATAGGATGGAACTGTTATAATACAAGTGACTTCCTGCATCTGATTACAAAAAGGATTCTCTATTTGAAACCTGATCTATTTTAACAATATTAAATAAGTAGCCTGCAGCAGTTTATTTCTCAGTTACAATAAAATAACCAAATTTGAGTGTTCAACAGATCCATTACAAAATTCTAGAAGAGAGTCAAAATGCTCCTCTTGGTTTGCAGTTATCTGCAATACACTTACTCAAGGTGCCTGTATTTATTTTCCTTCTTTTGGCGTGTTTTTGCTTTCATATTTATGTTTTGCTTGCTACTTTTCTTGTTCATGAAACTAATTTTGTGAAATTTTAGTGTAGTATAGATTTTGGCACTGTGATTTTATATTTTAACAAGCTGGAGTCTATTTCAGCATTGAAAATACCATGAAAAGCCTATTTTAAGCAGTCTGACTTGGAAGTCCAAAGTTATGTGATAGCAGCCTTCTAGCATTCACAAAGGTGCAATAGGGCAGATGAGATTACAATTGGAAACTCATCAAAGTAAATTGATGCCTCTTTTGGTCCTGGACATTGCTGTTAGCTAGCTTCAGAAGTAGAAGTGGTGCTTGAAGAAAGGTGCAAGGCTCTTTTTCAGCTCGGACAAGTAATAAAATTAATTCTGCTGGAATGGATGGAAAAAATGATGACCCAACAGCTAAACCTGAGGATGAAGGAACTGTAAGTAGGTGATTTGAGCATTCTTGATTTTATGTACTTCTTGACACTATTAGATCTCTTATGATCTGATTATCAAGTATTAACCTTAACATCATGGCTAGATTTGACATTTGAAAATGTCAACGTGTGTTTGCATATCTTTAGATTGCTAATAATATGTATTTTTTAGACAATTGAAATAATGAACATGTCAGTGTGACAATATGAAAAGCTTATATTGGTGTCATGGCAGCAGGCTTTTCAACAAAGAAGTCAAATTCTAGACAAAAAGGCAGCATTAAAGTAGGCAAAGTGTTTTACTTTCCCCTGAGAAAATGTAACAGGGGATTATTGCATGAGTGTTAACTCATGACAAAGAAGTAATTAAATAATTTAGTGTATGGTGATAGTCAAATTACAGCTTTAGATGGAAACCAATTCTAGAATACAAGAACTAAGTTGCAGTAGAGAGGAAAGGTGAATTAAGAATTATGGCCCTTACTGAGGGAAGGGAGCAGCTTAACTTTGCCTTGGTTTTCCTTTCTATAAGATGCCTATGGTAGACTACTATTACCTAGGAAAATATTGATAATGTAGCACACAGCATTCAGTATTCCTGTGAATCCTGCGTAACAGAGAACTTTGCCATGCAAACCTTGATACATGAAGTGCATTTTTTAAAAAAAAATAAAGTTAGAATTGCGGTAATGGCAATGAAGACGTTAGTTGTTTCAAGTTCATACTTATAGTCCAGTTATGTCAATCTAGTGCAGTTTTTAACAGTCCTTGACATAACCCAATTTTTAAGAAGAAGTCTGGCTGGTTAGGTCCATAGCTGCAAAGAGGACTGAAATGGGAAAACTTAGATATAAAATATTATTGGGGGAATCTTGATCGAAGTGGCCCAAAGTTCAGATGTCAGAGCCAAGCATTTATTGAGCTGCCTCAAGCTGTCCCATTGGATACCTGAGTGTATACAGGAACCTGACAGTGAGGAGCCTTAGACAAACAGGCAGTTTGATTTTCATTCTTAAAGAGGCATGTACTTGATAAGATTTTCAAAAATTTAAAAATTACGACAGATGGGTAAATTGAGTGAAGAACACACCAAACAAGTGCAGTTAATTAGCTACATAGAAGATATTAGTCTGAAATCTTCCAGTTCTGTGTTTTCAGGTTTTGCTTGAGGAAGTTGTAGAGAGTATTACTGGGTCTTTTTACTCATTATTACTTACTGCCAAGCTTTCTTTGAACATCCTCCATTCTGAGGTCAAAGACTGCTATCTGCTGTATTTGACTACGGGATCAGTAGGATATTTCTGGTGATGTTTCTTATGCTACCTCTGTAAGGATACACAGAGCTCTCTTCTTGAGACCATTGCTAGCACATAATATCAGAGAAATATTAAAAAAATTTATGTTGATGGGGATTTCTGAATGTTTTTAATTTTTTTAAAAAACAGGACTAACATCAAAGCCAAGAGATTTCTTGGAACATTGTTCCACTGAGTTTTGAATACTCCTAGGGATGGAGGTTCCCTGAGCTTTCTGGGCATGGCTCACACGCATGGCCCTCATGATGAAATACGTTCTTCCCCCTCCTCCACTCTAGCTGGAATTTCCCCTGCTACTGTATGTGACTGTTGTGGCTGTCTCTTCACTGTTCATCAGTGAGAAAAGTGTGTCTCTGTCTTTTCCATAACCCACTTTAGATAAGGAAATCTATAATTAGATTTACTCACACTGTCTTTGCCTTCTTGCCTCTAACTGAACAACCCCAGGGCTCTCAACTTTTTGCTGTACATCCCTTCAACCCCTTACTGCTTGATGACTTTCCCCTGGAATCACCCTGGATTATCTTATACTCATGGGCCAAAAACTGGACTCAGATGTGGGTCTTCTACTTTTGGGCAAAAGGAAAGAAGCACTTGTGAAATAACCTACAATGCTACTTTTGCAAATGGCTGGTAGTTATGCTTGTCATCTCCTGCATGACAAGCTCCATCAACACATGGATTTTGTAGCCACTGTATTAAACTTGACATCCCACAATGATGTCAACTCAGGAGTGAAATGCAAGTGTCTTGAAGGAAGACCCTTACTTTCTGACTGGAGTTTTAAACTGCTGCTAAGTTAATTACAGTTATGTACATGCAGTAACAGGCAAACGTATGTGGGAATCTCTTCTAGTTGTTGGTCCATCAATTGCTGTTAGAAATGTTCCACATTTTTGTTGTCTTTCACCTTGTTTTAGGTAGCCAACATTTCAGTCCAAATGGTATCTGCAGAAGATAAGTTGGCAAAGAGGATTCTGGCAAGGAAAAAACATGCCAAATTGAAGAAAAAAGATAAGTTGCTGTGGAATTTTCAAAACAAAATAATTCTCTTTACCCTCATTCTATTCATTTTAGGAGTTGTAACCTGGACATTACTGTGGCTCTTCATTGGTGAGTTCCTGAAAGCTCAAGCCAATTTCATACATCCCTATCCTCAGTAGTACTTTCAGCTGTTTCTAAAAAAAACATAGTACTTCTTGTGTGTCTTAGTTAAAGACTTAACAAGTTATTATAAGAGCAGGCATAGCTGATGGCTTTAGGGAGTGTGACTTTTTTTTTTTTAAGTGTTATGCAAAACATTTTTATGTGCAAGTTGATTGTGCAGACTTGACAGTTTCTATGAGGTTGATTGCTCAGAAATTTTACCTTTCACTGTGTTTCTTGACCTTATGAAATCCAAGTCCTTTATCTCGTATGCAAGATAGAATTAAAGAAATAAAAGGGGATTTTAAAAAGCACATGTCTGATTGGGCATTAAAAGCTATGTTTTCCTCTTTAGACTCCTGACGCTAATACTGCCTCGGGTTCCTTAGAGATGCTTCAGAATCTGGATGTTGATACTGCCTTCATTATACTGGCTCATTCATATGGTGGTATCTTACCTTGTGTGTAGGGAACAGGTGCTCAATAAACCATATTTTGTACACATCTATAGCAGTTTGACTATAAAAAGCACAGTGTTCTTTTGGTAGCTGTTTCCACTGTAAGGCCAAATAGATTCATTTGGGTTAGAAGTTAATTAAAAAAAAACCACCTCATTGTTATTGAGCGGGAAAAAAAAAGGTTATCTTCTTTGTTTCTTGCAGTTCAGGCAGAAAACAAAGATGTACTGTATTTTGTTGGACTGTTTCGTGTTGCCAACATAGAGTTTCTCCCAGAATATAGGCAAAAAGAGTCAAAGGAATTCCTCTCCATGGCACAGACTGTGCAACATGTGGTAAGATGAGCGTGTTGCTTGGCTAGTAAAGATTAGAACTGTGAACAAAAGGTGGGACATTCGGGTGCCACTGAGTCTGTTGTGGTGTTCTGCTTCCCACCTTTTCCCCCTCAGAGGATTATGTACAAAGAGTGGCTATCTGGAGGTATGAGGGAACTGACTGCTTTCAGCTTGTTAGTCACAAACTGAGTTTTGAATAGGTCTCTTTGACTTCTACATTTTGCTAAAAATTTTGTGTATTTTCCCCCACAAATCGGGATCTATGAATAGAACTCTGCAAAAGTCTTTTAAAACTTAATTGCCACTTTTGAGACATTGAACTGATGAAATCTTTTCCATTTAAATTGATATCTTCTGACAGTCTTCTGCCTTAAAGCATCTATAATTACCCTAGAGCTCCCAAACATATTTACATTTACATTTCCTTCTGATGCTAGGTATTCTAAAGGCCATTATTTTTCTCAAACACCTTGCATCAGTCAATGCAGAGATAGCACTCTGTTGGTAGGCAGTTAAAGCTGCTCCACAGTGGGAAGAAAGGGATGGGAATCTTAGTTAAAAGGAAATGTGACTTTGAAGACATTTGGTGTAGGGATCAAAAATACTTTAATGCAGCAGAAAATGCAACACTGTCCACATAAGGATTCAAACAATGGTATGAAAACTGCTAAACAAATAACAAAGAAATTACAGATGCAACCAAGAAATTTTTTTAATAATTGCTAAGTTTTTGTCATAATATCAACTCATGTTCTTGTTTTCCAGCTCTGTTTCTCTTCCCTCCCCCTAGCTGCTTCACAAAAGACTTGAAAGCTGACTGTCTAGTTTTCCCAGTCCTGCATGTTAATGACTGAAGTGCTTTCAGGAGGGGTGGTAGATAACCAGTGCAGGACACATCCTTTCCCTGCACTCCATGGAGCAGCTCTAACCTGATGTAAGCCCTGTGTCTTGCTCTTGTCCCAGAGCATCCTGCCCTTGTCACACAGAGGTGTCAGAAAGAAGGTGTTGAGCTTCCAGTGTCACCACCTCCTGCTTGAATATGACTTGAAGTCTATTTTTTATGTGTAAATTTTGCCTGAACTCACCAATGGATTTTGCAAAGCTGAAGCTGAGCTTTGTGCCAACCTTTAATATTGACTAAAGTTGTTAGTAGGGAAGTGGGGGGTTTGGGATTTTGTTTGTGATTTTTGCTTCAAAATAACCCAAGACCATCCCACAGCATGAAACAGGCAGAGATTTTGCTTCTCCACACATTGTACACTGTGTGTATTGGAAAGAAATACATGTCGATGAACAAAATAGACACAAACTGAATCAAAATGCAAGAAATTCCACACAAGCAGAGAAAAAGAGATCTTTAGCTGTGAGGGTAATCGAACACTAAAGCAGTTTTCCAGGGAGGCTGTGGAGTCTCCATTCTTGGAGATACTCAACTGGAAACATCCCTGGGGAACAAGATGTAGTTGACCCTGCTTTGAGCACTGAGATTGGACTAGGTGGTCTCCAGAGATCCTTTCTCTGATTCCGTGGAAAAAACTCTGTGCTGTTCATTACACATCAGTAGCAACATAAAGAATGTTACGAGCGTGTGCACATTTCTTGAAGTTTGACCCTAAGTTTCAGCATCAGCACAGGGAAACCCTCCATGTTCAGAATTTGCTGGGCAAAGAATGTGCACCTTTTTCAAAACTCATTTATTTGGAAAAAACATTGCTGTACCCTTCAGCTGGCCATGGGCAGATGATCTGATGTTTCCTGGGAATATTGGACTTGTTATAAACAGCTGGTCTTCTGCTCTGCCTAGCTTGGCTGATGTGTGTCTGGAAATACTTGCATGTTGCATAGTCTTGGAGGAAAATAGGATGGTTTTAGGAAAGGCCAGACATACACCGTTTCTAGATAGGACTGACTTTCAGAAATGCTAAATCTTTATACCTTCTCTTTCAGATGAACTTGGTCTACACAACCTCTTCTTTCTCCAAATTTTATAAGCAGTCCACTGTTTCAGAAGTCAGGTAAAACTGCAGTTAATGTAGTTGCCTTTCTGCCAGGTAGGATATAATGTAATGAGCCCACAAGAGAAGCCTGTTTTTGGTGGTTATGGTATAATGTCTTTGCTATGTACTTGTACTGATAGCAAAATACGTTGATAACCTATACTAATTCACTTAACAAAAGTAAGGGCAAACTAAAGTCATATAAGCATTTCCTTGTCTGCCAGGAGTACAATCTAAGATGAACAGAAATAATGTCTTTAAAGAGGATTGGTGATACTTTGGTCGATAGGTCACATGGAATTTTAACCACTTAAACATGCTGTTAAAGTACAACTCTATGTTATTGACTAAATCACACATATTTTGTAAGTAATTTATTGGTATAAAACTCTTTTCTACTGACAGAAAGGGAAAATCTCTATACTGCAATAGAGTACCCTTACTCTAATATTGTGTTTGCAATTAATATTAGAAGTTTAGTTATTACCATCCTCTTGAATCAAATACAATTTTGGTTCACGTAGAGGAGTTTCTAGGGTACATTTGTTTTAATGGTTTTTCTCCCCACCCGAAGGTAAAGATTGGGGTGACCATACATCTCTAATGTGTTACCTAAGTAGTCTAGAAACTGTTTCTCATGTACCATAGCACACAGTACAGGGTGAAATGCATACCAGTGCAGAGTTCTGCATTTCTGGAGATAATTCTATTTCTGTTCTACTATTTCTGTTTTGATTTTTAGGAGATAATTCAGCCCTAATTCAAGTAGGTAATATCATTTCCATAGATCTCAGAAGTCAGGAGCCCTCAGGAAATCAACGTACTGAAGATTCCCAACTGGATATGAAGAGTGTGTTTTGGTGTTTTGGGCTTCTTTCCCCTTCCCCATCCAAGAGGAAAATACACGTTCAGTGTGTTAATGTAATTAGGAAAGATGGGAATGAGCCATACACTTCTAAATTTGTGCATCAGAAGTTTGGACTAGAAGTCCAGTCTTCAGAGAACTTTCAACATGATGATAATCTGTAGGACCTCTTTCTTTCAGTAACAACAACAATGGAGGCCTTCTTATTCATTTCTGGATCGTATTTGTGGTACCACAGGCGAAGGGCCAAGTGCTGTGTGAGGATTGTGTGGCTGCCATTTTAAAAGATTCTATTCAGACAAGTATCATTAACCGGACTTCGGTGGGAAGTCTTCAGGGCCTTGCAGTCGACATGGATTCTATTGTACTAAGTGGTTAGTATTAGCACATACCCATATCCCAGAGGAAACACTTCGTTAAGCAAACTTTTCTACCTTGGAGTAGCAAATTCTATAAATAAACTAAAATTTTTATCCTACATTTTTAGCTTCTAATGCTAATTTATAATTTTTTTTAAAAAAAGAGAGAGAGAAGGAAAACAAAACCCCAGATTTGAGGTCAAAAAGTGTCCTTGTAAACAGTGATTGTAAAACTTCCTCTGAGTGCTTGGAGTGCTTATGTTCATAGTCAGGAGCTAAAACTGACACTTTGTAGGCAGCTCACTTTGTGACTTTAAAAGTATAAAAAGATGAATGGTTAAGATTTCCACATGGATCAAATTTTAGTCCCCACACTGCGAATGAGACTCTTATCATCCCTTTATTAAAAACTAAAAAACAGATTAAAAACCTGCCCCTTCATTAAACAACTCTTATGCCATTCCTGTCTGGGGAACAAATTAACAATGTGAGATTCAAGTATCTGTTTGATGTATTTAGCTACAAAATGGTTTATGATTTTCAGTTCTATGAACATAGGATGGAACAACTCTGTCCACCTTTGTGGCCAAGGGTGAGGAAATGACCCCCTGGGGTACCTCTGTCTTAGTTCTTTAATTGAATATGACTGCTTAATTGACATGCAGTCTCTTCCTGCCTCAGGCACTGAGATGTCTGGGGACATGATACCTTCAAAGCTACTTGCAGAAATAAAGGGTAGCCCCCCCTCATTGAGATATCTGTTTTGTCCTATGTATTTAGTGTTAGGACTGAACTGTGATTGAATTAAACCCTGAATTCTGGATTTCAGGCAAACAAGAAGACTCACACAACTCTTTTTCTGTGCAGCAGGTCTTCGGTCAGATTATTGGTCGACAACAGGAACAGGTAATTCAGCATTTTGGCAACTTCATGGCAGTGGAGAGGTGGAGAACAAAGCTTTTAGTTCACGACTTAGACTCAAAGACACTGTTCGGTGTTAATTTAAGAGGGTTAAATTCAGCCTTGGTATTTAAGTCCTGACTTGCTATAAGAATGACCAAGAGTCTTGCACGCAACAAATATAGAAGCTATCTATCCTTAATCTTCCTGGTAAATTTTTTAGATGTACCTGCTGGCATGGTAGGAAATAAACTCAGGCAATTGTTTGCTATTCACTGTGTTGAACAAAGGATTAACCTTTTCTAAAGTGGACAGTAATGAATTTAATATGCTGAACCGTGGTAATGGTTTTGTCCACACTTTATCTTCCTTAATTCCCTTTCTCCAAGATTAATGATGAATTTGTCTTTTGAATTAATTTCCTAATGGTAATTAGTTCAAGCACTGAGTTTTGCGAGAGTTGTGGGAGACATAACTTGTATACCTGCTTGGTTTCATATTGTAAACCTCCCAGTAGGGTTCTTTGCCAGTGTGCAGAAACTTTATAAGCAGTTCAAAAGCACAGCACATCTACCTTCACTGTTATGTGGA